AAGCAGATAAGTAGTATTCAGAAGAGCTTATGTGTAATAAGCAATAACATTTCTTATTAATTTGGTGTTAGAGATGAGCAGGTTTTCTCTGGTAATGAACTTCCACGAAGTATGAAATAGATTTTTACTTTTGCCTCTAACATCGGTTTTATAATTACCACCAATGACAATATATATATATATTTATTTTATTTTTTTCACTTTTCTTTCCATTCCCCAACTGAACAATTCTTAAGTATCATTTCAAAAGAACAGATGAAATCTTCAAATTTTTGAACAATAACAATATTTGTTGTTAACCTGTTGCTAAGCGATGAGGACGTTTTCTGGCAACCCAGTGACAGGAAGTCAACTCCTGATTTTTACTTTTGCAAAATTTGCCATGTGAAAATTTCTTGTCTTATTAGATGAGCAGTATTTCAAAGGAGCTTGTGTTCTACAAACAATATTACTTGTCATTAATTTGGTTTTAAGAGATGAAGTTTTTTTTTTTTCTGGTAACGAACTGCCACGAAGAATAAAACAAATTTTTACTTCTGTGTTGACTCTGTTTTATATTTACCACCAATTGACAAAAACATTTTCAATTTTCTGCAAATTGTTTTGCAAGTAGTGTCACAAAAGAAGTATTTCTAAAGAGCAGAAGAAATTTCATATTTTCTGAACAATAACAACCTGTTTCTAAGAGATGACCAAGTGCCACGAAGTAACATTAGCACAAACATTAGCTAAAGTTTGTGGCTAATGGCTACACTTTAGCAGTAGCTTTTCACTGCTGACATGCAGTAAAAGGCTTTCAGCTACGACAGTTGAGCTCCTGTGGCTGGGACCGGGGAAGCGCTGAGGGAACCGGCCAACGGGTGGCTAACCGAGGGGAGCCTCCGGGCCGAGTCTGCGTTCTGATTTCTGACATTTTATCTGAAAACCTAAAAATAGAACTGAAACTGTAGTTTGAAAAATGACCCTGAGGTAAGAGTGAGGCAATAATCTGAAAGGACTCAGTCTGAGCACATTGACAGGCCAACAGTTTCCTCTCTCATGCCGTTTTCTCTGCTGATGTGTAAATGTAGTGATTCCTTTCCATCAGCACACTTATGTTTGTGAAGGGGCTTTAATTTGACCCCCCACTGAGTGATGGCAGTCTGCACATATAGTCACATGTATTAATAACTTCTGTTTTTTTTTGTCTGTTTTTAAATTTTCAGTCTTTGTTCATGAAGCTGTAGGACCACAAATCTGGAACAAGCTTCCAGAAAACTGGGAAACAGCCGAAACGCTGAATTCATTTAAATCAAACACCGAGGACCCAAATGTTCAGAGCTGCTTTTGAAACATTACAAATGAAACATTAATCGTCATTCTGATGTGCAACTCGACAATTGTTGACTGCGTGTTCGACAACTTTGTATATTTTTGTGTCTTTTTATGTTTTACGACACTTAACTGCCTTGTTGCTGAAATGTGCTTCACAAATAAACTTGATTGATTAATTGATTGATTAATTTATATATATATATATTTATATATATATATATTTATATAAACGTATAAAACTGTATGGTCTATAAGATCATCTCTTCAGTGCTGCTGAAAGAAGTCTCTGGTGATGTAATATTCTCCAGCATGTGAAAAAAGAAAATCATGTTAACAACCCGATAAGACAGGATTCTCTCCGTGACAAAACTGGCGTTCGGGTCAGTGGGTGGATTTTAGACTCTGCTGCAGGAGTTTCCTCCCCCTGGACTATTTTCTCTGTTCAAGGCCAAGTCAGATCCATTTCAGTTTGGGTGACACAAAAAGCTTTTGAGGCGAAGCTGTGAACGTAGGGAGCTGGGAGGAGGACGCTCCGTCAGCTAAACCTGCTGATTCACCACGGAAACACCCCCTCCCCCCCAAATTTCTGTCTTCCTCCTATTCCTGCTGCATTAATTTAGTCACTCGGTATGAATAACTAAAATGAGCAGCATCGTACTCTGTTGGGAATATAGCTTGTATGAAGAGGAGCGTGGGACGCTTCACCATATTTCTATGTGGACGAGTGTAAAGATTCAAAACAGGTTTAAAAGTTTGATCCCCGTGAGACTTTCACACACTGGATGGAAAGGAAACTATGTCACCAAGAGGATTTCCATCGTCTCCATTTTGAGAAACATGAGCTTTGAGAAAAATCCTAATCTCAATCCATCAAGGCTGAAAATCACACCGGTCTTCTCTTTGTATTCACAACAGCTCCAACTTTTTATTGAGGTGCTTCTAACTAAGTTTTATAAGAATTTCAGAGCATTTTTTTCAGGAGAGCATGTCTGAGGTCAGACACTGATGTTGGCTGAGAAGCTCAGAATAATCCCAAGAGTCGAGGGGTCAAGAGGTTGTGCAACCCACTCAGTTTCTTCCACACCAGATTCAGTTATCCATATATAGAGATCTGCTGTTTACATGAGCAGAAATCGACTATTATTTCAGTGTTGGCGGCGCGAAGCTAGGCGTTTGCGGCTAACCTCGTGCAGTAGTTGAAGAAACTTTTCAAGGATGGAGCGTCGTGTTCTTCTTTTGCTGAGCAAAGCCGAGAAATGCATCGTCGGACGATTTCTCGCGGCCGACGGAGCCGCGCTGAAGACTTGCCGAGAAGGAGAGGCTTTCTGACCGCACGGTTGCATGACGGCGATCTTTTGTCAGCCAAGCTCATCTGCATCCAGCTCTACAGCCCACGACTTTAACCTTCAACTTTATGCGCTTTCATCTATTCAAATCCAAGATTTGAATAGATCTTGCATTTAAGCAAGCCTCGGGCCGGAGTCACAGATGGAGTCGGTTTCTAACACCGCTGCAGAAAAGCGATAAAAGGTCGATGAGCCCAGATGATGGTCTGATCGGAAAGGAAAAGAAAGCGTAAAGGCACGGACCCTCTCGCCCCCTTCCTCTGTCTCCCAGACCTCCAGGGGTTTTCTTTATATTTATTTCCACTGTAGCTTCTTTTTCTCCTCAAACTCCTTCAATGGAAAAGTACATTTTTTTCCATGAAACATGTTGGTCAATTATTTAAGTTTTTATACAATAGATTAACAGAAATTACAATGTTGGAGTAAAATTTTACTGCTGTGTGTGTGTGAGACCAGCAGTAAAGAACCTCGGCGCCCTGCAGAATCTTTCTGAACATTTTTACAGCAAACTAAAGGATCGAGAGGAGTCAAAATCTAAAATTATTTTCCTAGTTGAAGATTATTTTATTTCTCAACGAGGAACAAAGAGACATCAGGTTTGTCAGATCAGGAAGTTTTCAGATTGAAGAAAATAATGTCCAAAAGTCACAAAACAATTGTGATGAAAATGTTATCCAGGTCCAGGACGGTGACCCTGTGGTGGCTGGTGGCGTCCAGGAGGTCCTGCTGGGTGTCCGGGCCGCCAAACTTATGCGCCGTTTCCTGGAGTGAATGAAGGAGCGAATGACAGCTGGCGAGAGGCGGCTCCTGCAGCGACACATCTCAGAAAAGTGCCCGTCTGACCCATCTGACCCGACTGACCCTTCTCACCACCCTGACCCTTCTGACCCGTCCTCGGACGTGTTTCCAGATCCAGATTTTGGGGAGGACGGTGGCCCCCTGCTGCAACGTACAGACTCAAGGGTGGACTTTTGTAAAACAGGCCCAAAAGTACTGTAGAAAAATCCAGAACAAGAGAACTCTCCACAAGAGAGCAATCAGTGCAGTGCTTCCTCAGTGGAGGACTCTTCACACGCCTCCAATAAAAACAGACTGGTGATCTCTGCACGGCGCCATAGCCACAAACTCGTTCTTATGGGTCATTAGGCTTGGGGTTTTAAAAGAGTGTCCTTTTGGCAAATTGTCTGAGAGCGTGTTTTGTGTTTTTATGGATTGTTTACGGTTAGCGAGTTTTTAACATTTTTTAACGAGAATTTTGAGTCTCTTTGGCGTGGTTTTTACCAGTTCCGATTTTATCAACGGCTCGCATTACAGTCGAGCCACTAGTTTTAAATCCCAGATTTTCAATGATTTAACAGCCGAAGCAAAAACGACGATTTATTTAGCTGGAAGAGACAAAATGCAGGCTGGACCTCAACTTGATGCCTTGGCTCTGTGGACATGAAACATCAAGGTCAGGTTGAGGTCAGAGTTTAGTTTCCACAGAGCCACCGGGGATTTGAAAGGTTTTTTTTGTTTGTTTTTTTATAAAGTTGGGTTTTTAACACTGTTTTGTCCACCATATCTGATCAGGAATGTCTAAACTATAACAAGCTGCTAATGTAAATATTTATTGTTTTAGTTCTTTTGACCTGATTGTCTAACAGTTTATTGTTAAATTATTTTACAATAAATGTTTTGTTAAAAATATTGTTTTTCGAAGTGGATTTTTGGTCACAGAAATTTCATCATTTATTTTGATTATTGTTGTTTCAGGTGTTTATTTATTTTGGTTATTTAAAATGGTTTTCAGTGTTTGAGCTGAAACAGGTTATGGCTGGTAAGGCAGGAAGATTTCTTCTGAGAGGAATCGATTTCTTCCTGACTGGAAAGTGATCAAATATTTACTCTATGAAATGAAGTGCAGGTTCTTTATTTAAAAAGTCAAAGTGTGTTTTTCCGTTTGTTTTGTTAGATTTCCGGCTCCTTCGATTGAGGTCAGACTATGATGGAAGTTCCTCTCCGTTCTTCGTTGGTAGGAAAAAAAATGGGAAAGTTGGCTTAAATACTTCCTTTTCCTATTTGATACCTGGCAACGTCATTTTATTTTATGTTAACTGTCTTGACGCCTCCTACGTTTGCAGTACTTAAAAAGAAGAAAAAAAAGCAGTCATCTAAAATTAGATCCTTCTGTTGCTTCCATCCTGTGGTTACTCCTCAGACTGCAGGAACCAAATCAGTGAAATGATGCGTTTTGGCTCCAGCTGGAGCTAAACGCCCGTTGCTGTGATGCTCTATTTGAATCAGGAATCAGTTCCAGAATGAACAAGAAATGAAGCAAAAAACAAACAAAAAAAAACATTCACTTTAATATTTTTTATTTATCGCGCAACATAAAACAATATTGTGGGGTTTTTAACCACATACACTATGTATTCACATGATACACCATACAGCTACAAAGAGAGGGAGAGAGAGAGAGAGACTGAACAAAAACACTTCTTTTTTTTTTTTACATACTGCATCATTGACATAAAGATAAAGAACCAAGAACAATCCTACAAATCAAAAAAGGAATGTAGCTGCCACTTGTGTAGGTTCATTTTCATCTTTTCTTATGGGCCAGGGTTCAAGTCTCTGTTCCTACTTTGGAGAGCCTTCAGTAAGTCAGGTGTTCATAATTTTTCAACGTCGGGCCGCAGATAATGAGATGCATTTTTTTTTTTTCATCTATATTTGCGTGGTTCAGAACATCAAACTATACAAGGTTTAGAAGTAAAAGATGGGCGTGAGTAAAAAGGAAGTGCATGACTAGGGAGTAAAAGAGGGAAGCAGTACACAATTCTGGGATTGTTCAAATACCTTTGCATTCATCTAACATGTACATTTACAACATCCTCAAAAAAGATTATTCTAAAAGCCTTTGGTACTCGCTGTACCAAATATAAATCCCCAGATAACAGTCCTTATATATTCTGATTCTACTTCTCATCCTAGTTTTACCAGCTTAAAGTATATTTATGGAATGAGTATTAATAAAGGAAGTGATCTGCTGTCGGAGAGCCCTCGAGCCCGGCAGAGAGAGATGTAAAAAACGTGTAGCGTTGTAACAAGACTTATTCATAAAGTCAGCACCAGGGGGCAGCTTCGCGCACTTAGAAACTGCTTCGATTAAAATTACAGTTTTATTGACATTCGAGGAGCTCAGAAAACAAATATTGTTTTTTTTTTCCTGATTTTTTTGTTTTTTTTTACACAGTGAATTTTTAATGCGTTAACATCATAGCACCGCCTGTCTGACCTGCCCCTACACTCACCCCTGCTTTTTATCCCCACCCTCACAACATCTCAGAGAACCCCCCAAACAGAACATTTAGAGATTTACAAAGTTAGATGAGAAATGTTGGATACAACATCCTCAGCACCATTAAGAATGTATAAATGTGGGTTACGTAATATGAATATCAAAAGGTAAAACAAGCTGCACCAGTAGAACTCCTGCTAGCATCATGCTAACTCTGCCGTGTGGATCCTTCGACAGTAAACGATAAAAAAAGGATTTAATTAGCGACACAAGCAGGGAATAAGATGGTCTGCAACTCAAGTGGGAACAATAAACAGGCTTTAGCTTATCTCACCGTCTTCCGATTTAGCCTAGGTAGACTCGAGAAGCTAAAGTAAGGCTTCCACTCGTCAATGTCGCTAATTTTCATGTGAAAATGTGGGCACAGAACTGCAACCTGGGGGTTCCAGTTTGTTGTGTATCCTCTTAGTGAAGTGAGTGAGCAGAGTCGTGGGGGAGGAGGGGATGACGGGGTGGCTCCACGGTGAGTAAGCCGGCCGCCACATGCCACACATCGGATACCTGGGCTCATGAATGAATTCTCTAAAAGCGACCGCGCTTTTGTCGTCTACAGGCTGACACGGGGTACAGTACTTCTGAAAGCGAAAAACAGCAGTGTAACTGAGCAAAAAACGATTACATACAACACACTGAGACCAAGTGTTGCAAAGAGCTTTCTGAGACTTCAACACCCCCCGCCCCAACCCCGCCCCGTCCCATGTTGTCCATGGTTTTAGTTTACTATCCTCACCAGTTAAATAATCTTACCTAAATAGTTTAATATTTACATTATTTTTTTACCTCTCTCTTGAGAAAATGAAAACAAAAAAAACAAAAAGAAAACAAACTAAGCTTCAAGTTGTCAATAATCGGCTCTTTCTTTTGTCGTTAAAATCAAGATTAAAAGTGCTTTTATAAATCTTTTCTTCTCTATTTACAATTTGTATTAGCTATATAAAAAAGATGAAAAAGAAAATAACATCAAAGACAATCATCATCATCACAATGTAGTAATAAATAAAGAGTAAAAAAAAAAAAAAAAAAAAAAAAGCTAAAATGAGTGTAGAAATCTAGAGCACACAAAGGGGACATGCGGGATTTTCTGCCCTCAGTAGCAAGTTGGGATGGTTACCAGTGTCTCTACGGCGTGAGGTAGAGAGCTGGAGGCCTCGCGGGGCCCGGATCGCGGTCCTTCGTCCCGGGCCTTGACCCAAACAACCACTTCTATAGAGTTGTCAGTCGCTCGTTTTTCTCTTTTTCAACAAGCAAACTACAGGATTGTGAAGAAGTAAAAAAAAAAAATAATAATAATAATAAGTGATTCAAAGTACTGAAAATGCTCATCAATCAAGTAGTCTCTCTCTTTGGCGTTCTTTCAAACACACCTCCTCATACACTCATAGTACACAAAGCGAGAGAGTATTTGATGTTTTGCATTTGGGCGCCTTCTCCCTGAAGCTATGCTGACGTCCGATGGTTTGCCTTTCACCTCTCAGTACTTTTTGTCCTCGGTGGAAAGCGCTGCTGATGGGTTTACTAAGAGATGTCATGACTGGCTGTGCTTTCTCTGCCCTGGACAGTGGACCGTGTTACCGTCTGCCGGCACAAACACTAAAAACTCCTCAACGGGAACTTGTTCTTGAGCCCAGTGGCAAAGCTGCAACCCCCAAAAACACAACCAATTTGATTGGCTGGCTCTGTGGTAGGAAGGTGCCTGCAGTAGCACATACCTTGCTCTGCCCGAAAGATAACAGCACCATACAGAGGAAAGGACCGGGGCCTCTGTAATAAATCAAGTGTAAAAGGACAGCACCAATGTGTGTGTAGGAGCACCAAGAGGACTGCAGTCCCAACACCGTCTCCTTCTGCTAGAGCACAGGATGAACTTTCCAGATGCATCTCCAGACTTCAGCCTGATGCGTTGCTTTATTGAGTCTTACCATTAGCCACCAAACAGGGAGTGAGGGCTCCCTCTGCTGGCCTTGGTGGTTAGAGCCTGGTTTCTGAATGGCTCTCAAGTGCTTGTTTGAATAGGCAGCCACTGCTGCCCTCTAGAGTTCATTCTGGAAAGTTTTCATCCTTAATAAACAGATGTAGGAAGATAAAGAGCGTCGCCTGCTTCAAACCCATGTGGAAATTGCAGATCTGACTCGAAGAGCATTTGCAAGTTGTTTTCTTTTTTTACTTCTGTGAAGAAATAAAGTGTTATCTCAGTTTTAAGAGTGGGAAATTATGTCAAGCAAGAAGCGTTGTCATTAAACTTGCCTTCTGCGCGACATAATTATCGCCCGAGGGTCTTTTAAGACAATCAAAGCCTCTATTTTGGTTCCCCACCTGTGTCCAAATTACAATAGTTGTCACCCCCTCCCCCCTGCAAACACTGCTCGAGCCACATTTGAGCACCAAAATACAGCATCAAGTGCCACGAAAAGAAGCTGATGGAAAACCGATCGGAAAGAGAAGCTGAGCACCAGTTGAAAAAGTTGGAGCAGTGCAGATAAACAGGAGGAGCGCATCACCTAGCCGCAGACAGACAGCCACAGAGCTTTTCACCATGTTCTCATTTCTAATGGATTATTTTTATGATTGGTTTCACTGCTCATGTTTGTCTTATTTCTGAAATGTTTCATCAACCATCAGAAGAAGAGATTAAGCAAACTCTCTCCCTGAAACTTTTAGGATTCAAAGAGTATTCTTGGAATTCTCATTGAGGTATAATTTTCTGATAAAAATCTTGGATCAAATCTACTTTTTCTTCTTTCTTTTCTTTTTTGGCATGGAACCATGATTAAAATTTCTGTTACTTTTCTGTCTGATTGGGCAGATTACTGCTCTTCCTGCAACTAGAGTTGACACGGAGAAAGGAAATCAAACAGAAAAAGGGGATGCAGTTTTTCCAAACTTGGAAAAACCAACGGTCTGAGTGACTCAGACTGATTGATTAAAAAATAAAATGTAAAAACAGCAACAAAACAAAACAATTATCCCATTAATAATAACATTAATGAAAACAGCAATAATAATAAAAAAAACAAGTGTTCATTATAATAATACCTGTAATAACATCATTGACAGTAACAATAGCAATCATAATAATAGCAATAATTAGAATCATTAAAATTTTATAAACAAGAAAAAGCAATGGAGTTCCTCTCCAGAAACAAGAGAGGAAGAGCACCACAGGCAGTGTGTCTGCAGCCCAAACCACTGCCTGACATGAGGTAAAAAAAAAAACCAATAAAAACGTCCCCCACTCCCCTTCCTCCCTACAGACTATGGAGGAGGCCGGATGGAGAGATGCTAGACTGTGAAACAGCAAAGAGACATTTCTCCTGCTCACTGCCTTCCAAACCTGTCCACTGCACCACTTTGGTGCTTTCAGTCTTTTTGTGTCTGTCTGGCCTCAGACAAAGTGGCTGTAGGGCCCAGTGACGCGAGTGAAGGCATAGGGAGACACAGTAACCATAGAGGTGGTGTAGAATGTATGAGATAACCGTGTCACTGGCGCGTCTTTCTTGTCTTTCGACTGTCCAGATCCTGGGCTGGCGCCTGTTATCAAAGACCCCCATTTGCGTTTCTTGCCGAGAGTCTTGATGTCTTCCTGGGAAAGGCCCAGGAGAGCTGCTTCCTGCTGCCTCTGCAGTGCTCGCTCTGCCAGGAGCTTCATTTTGGCCTCCCACAGAGCCAGGCCGTGCATTGGCTGATTGAGGTTCTTGTGCTGGTAGAAGACGAGGGAGATGCGGGTGGGATGAGAACGATCGGGCTTCTTAAGTGGAGTGGTGGCGTGTAGTTCCCGCCGGGCGCATTCGATCAGGACTGAGCCGTGAGCTGGTGCGACTGCTACGCCACCGATTGTGGGATCCAAGAAGTTGTGTTCGCTGTCAGACCACACCTCGTCCTCTTCTTCACGATGCTTGAAACTTTCAACATCACTTTCAGCTCGGCAGGGATCGCAAAAGGCCTGATCGGACTGTTGCAGCGCATCAGGGAACAGGCGACCCTCGGGAGTGGGGGAAGGGGTGCTGCCTGCCAGTGAACCTCCACAAGACTTCCAGGCCTTTTCTTGGATCCCCAGGGGAGTGGAACACCGGTTCTCCCCGGTCTTGGACCAGATCTTGTCAGGGTAGGCTCCTGCAGGATTGCTGTGCTTCAAACCAGGGCTATATGCAACAGGTCCGATGCCCCAAGGATTTGGTTGTGGGCTTGGAGCAGGACTCGCCCAATGCCTGGGGGTAAGTTGCCCTGGAGTTAGTGGGCCTGGGGTGGCTGGGCCTGGGGTGGCTGGGCCTGGGGTGGCTGGGCCTGGAGTGGCTGGGCCTGGGGTGGCTCGGCCTGGAGTGGCAAGACCTGGGGTGCCAGGTCGTAGAGTACCTAAACCTGGGGTACTTGGACCTGGGGTTCCAGGACCAGGGGTGGGTGGACCTGGAATGCCAGTGACTGGGGTGCCTGGACGTGGGGTCCCAGGTCTTGGAGTTACTGAGCCTGAGTGAGAGGTAACAGGTTGTGGTGTACCCGGGTAAGAAGCACTGTGACGTATGGCGCCTCGGTATAGGTTGCCCTGGTGCCCCGTGCCAAGGTGAGGGGATGGAGGTGGAGATGCAGGTACCTGGAGTGATGGATTGATGGAAGCAATTTGGGGGTTTGAAGTCCACTGCTGAGGGTATGGAGAGGACTGGCGCTGCTGGGCATGCTGGTGAAGCTGCAGTTTGTCAGAGTTTAAAGAAGAGACATCAGGACTTTGTCTACGGTTTAATTGGCCATTCCAATTATTTGAAATAATGCTTCCATTAATCTTATACCCAGGCCACTGCGCAGGCTGCGGGGTGCTTCTTGATGTGTTGGCACAACCCTGGCTTGGCAGTGCCCCTTCATAGACTGGTACATCCATAGGCTCTTGTTTGATGAGCGGAGTGCCTCTGTTGGATGGCTCAGAGGAGACCGAAGAAGGACGGGACAGGCTATAGTTGGCAGGCTGGGCATAAGCGCTGTTGTTGGGTTGGTTGTTTTGCTCTGGGTGGCTGTTGGAAGGCAAATGGCCTTGAGGGCTCTGAGCATCAGACGTTCTTTCTGCCTGGACAAGCTTATTTCGACCTTCATAGGTCTTCAACTTAGGACGGAAAAGAGCGTTGGGAGGGTAGTTGAAGAAGCCGTAGGGCATTGCAGGCAGACTGGGATGGTAGCCATTTACTGTGTCTGCGGCAGAGTGCTGGCCGGCTGGGGAATGGCCCCCCCTTGCATAGTAGGCAGGATTTTGATAGATGTTATTGAATGAGTCTGTTGCCTGCACAGGGTATCCATCTATTGATCCATTAATGGGCTCCCGCTTGATATCCGGCTTCATCTCTTGCTTTATGATTTCTGAAAAGCACATTACAAATAAATGAAAATCTTTCAACACCAGGATACATATTCAATTATTGCTATCCCTTTCACTCTACACTTTTGCTAATGTGTCATACTGATAGGTAATTACAAATAGGTCAAAACTCAAGTTCAGATCAGGTCAGATGATAACCTTACTATTACATCTTGAGTTTTGTACAATCAAATTAAACTTTGTGTGACAATCAAGAGTGACTAACCTTTAATGCCTGGGGTTTGGGGAGAGCTGCTGATGCAAAGTTCAGTCTTGACCACTGTTTTCTCTGGTGTCTGCTGTGTGAGTTTACTTTTCTTCTTCTCTGAGGCGGCCTTCTTGGCCTCCAGTCGGCGTTGCCGGCAAGATTTAGCAGGCTCGGGCAACTTGCGTACCTCGCGACGGAAAGCTTCAAGTACCTGGATGGCTCCGTTTTGCATCTTGCGGCGCTGGGCCTCTGCACTGCCAAACTCGTCTGTCAGTGAGACAGTGTACAGTGGCAGCACATGAAGCTGCTCGTCTTCAGGGATTTCCCCCACTTTTCGGTTGTCCTCTTTTGTCAAGGTACACACCTAACAAAGCACAAAAGGTAAATGTGAGCTAGGCAAAAACTGTTTATGGAGTTTTTTCAAGTGCAACATATATTTGGCACTTTGCAAAAGAATTGATAATCCTTAAAATTTTTCCCATTTTGTCATGTTGCCACCATAATTGTGAAGCAAAAGAAATTTTGAACATGGTTTCTGAAAAGTGATATATTCATTGTTTTCGGCCCCTTTAACCATGATACCAATTCCAAATTTGTAATTGGCTTTAGGGATCACAGAATAACTACATGAGGCTCACATGTGTACAATATAAATTCAGCATAAATACAAGTGTCAGGGAGAAACTTGTGGAGAACCTCAACGAGGGATAAATTAAACCAAGCTTTGGACCATGAAATGAAAGCTTAAAGATCGACCAAGACGTAGCCGTGCATCTGAACTAACAGGCCAGGCAAGGGGAGCATGAACAAGAAAATTACCCAAAAAGGGTAAAAGGTGGGAAAACCTTTAGACAGGACCAGTGGTTGTGCACATTACAAATCTACATCTTGGCAAAAGAAAACCAAAATAAGTCCCATTTGCAATTTGCTGCAGGTCATATAGAGGACACTGCAAATGTGTAAAAGAAGGTGTTTTAATGAGGCCAAAACTAAACCCTCTGGGTGACACTTAAGTCTAAAACTGTCTAAACACACTAACAAAGTGAAACATGGTAACGTCATGCTAGCGGAAAGCAAAAATCATCAGCAGGGACAAGGAACGTGGCTGTGAAACAGACAATCCTGGAAGGAAGTTGCAAAACACTTTTACCTTCAAGAAGGACAGTGACCCTAAACATGTCATTGCCCTCACTTACAATCACTTAAAATCCACTGTCCTGGAGTTTATGAATGCATCCCTTCTCTGGCATGGCTCTCATAATTAACTGAATTACCTTCTCAGCATGTCATCAAGTTCTGCAGAGCCTGGTAGTGAGCCAATCAATTAATTCAGGTACATTTTAACAGGGATGCATCTAAAAAAAATTGAGAGGAGGGACTTTTGAGGACTGGAGATAGAAAAGAAATCACGCTGATATGTAACAATTGTTTGCCACGTCATTTTTCTTCCACTTCACAATGATACACTGCTTTGTATTGGTCAATCAGATTCCAATATAACCTATTAATGTTTGTGACTTGACAACTGTTGTGCCTGTGATTTACACGTTTGTGCTTTTGACAGCTTTAAAATGCACAATAGACTCCAGAAGGATGCTGAGTAGGGTTACCACTGTGCAGCCATTGTGCAGGTTGTGCTGGTCTTTATGAGCGTGGGCACAGAAGTCCATGCAAGCTGTAATTCCAGAGAAGGGACGGCCTTCCTTCAAACCCAGCCTGCACTCCGGAGCTCGCTGCTCTGCTGCACACTGAAGTGGGAGGGGAGAAAAAACAACAACTTTAAAACTTATTAAAGAAAGGGACCATTTAATGAACCTCAGTTAGCGTTTTAGTTTTATAAGTTTGACAAAGAATTTAAAATCAACCAAAATAGAATTGGATAAATAGAGTACAAGCAAAACACTTGAAGAGTAGGTGTTTGACTTAAGTTGGTGATCTGCCCAGTGCAAACACACCTGGTTGCTGTAGGCCTGTGGAGCCAGTCGCTTGTACAAAGGAGCCACCTCAGTTGCCAGATTTTGGAAGTTGTCCCTGAGTTTTTCCTCCTGACAAGAAAAACGCATTAAAGACATCAGACACTCCACAGATTTCCAGGTTTGGAATTGCATTGTCTTCAAAATCAGTGGTTTTGATTCGATGTGCACCTCTTCGGGATGATCTCCTTGTAGCCTGAACTTGCGTGGCGTCTTGCTTCGGGCGTATTTGCAGCCATTAAAGTACATGCTCCAGGAGCAGCCAAATGAGAAGGAAGCTCCACACTTTTCAGAGTCTTTTCCCTGACAGGCACAGGTACGGCTGCAAGGGCGACAGAGAGCACAAACTCTCAGCTTCACTCATAACTGTTAGGCATCCAGAGAATTATAAACTTATTTTTCATACTTTAAACATGTCAATGGAGAACATTGGGCTGGTGCTGTTCAGTTTTACTGCAGCATTATAAAAATGTTTGCTGTAAAAGTCTTATGAGGTGCCATTATGAAATACACTGTGCAAACCATGCTGATTTAGAGAAGTAGATTTTCTTTATCTTTATGGTATGACAGTGAATGTTTCTATGTGAACTATGTAACAGACGCCTGATAGACTATAGTCTAGTTGATTCTATATCAGTAACAAACCTGATATAGATGTAATTTCTGATTCGGACATCTGGCTAAGGCCACTGATCAAGATGTTGTTGTCCTGTATCGCTGAAAAGTTATATGTTTTAACTTACAGCTAAAACACACATAAACTACAACCTCAAAAAATGAATAAAAACAATTCTTACAGTATTCATAGACAAGCCTTCTTAATTTGCCAGATGACTTAAAGTCTGCTACCTTCTGAGGTGTTATCCGTTAGCTATGCTACTGATACTAGCATCACAAATAAGTCTTTAAAAACAGTCAAAACTGTCACCAGAATATGTTTTTGAAATGTTTTTACTGATATTACAATCATTAATTGTATTTTTAAGTTATGCCAAAAATTTACAGAAAATCTACTTGCTCAATTACTTTTGTTGCTGGATGTTGCAGCTTTTTAAATCATTCTACCAACATATTAAACCCCAGTAGAGTCCAGAAGTTAACGCTTTTTTGAACTCCCATAATAGTCAGAAGCACATTGAATCAGGCATTTGCAATATTATGAAAACACACAACCGCAGTGTAGCGTTTTCACTTTCACAAGCATTTTCCTTTGGCCTACTCACTCGTCATTGAGCCCACAGCGCCGGCTGGTGGGGTTGCCATACTTAGTGAGGGTGTCTGTCACCTCGTGGTAAAGCTTGTCGGCCAGGGCTCTTGGGATGCCTTCCCAGGCTAAAATAACAACGATGATGACTGCGTTGGCACAGTGGTGGCCGGCACGCTGACGCACCAGGCACAGCAGTTTCTCTTTCTCGCTGCCTCGACGAATCACCTGGCGGGAGATTGAATTCGGCATAGTTTTCATTCCATGTTTAATCAAAAATAAAATGTTCATGACAGGTGTTATGTCATGTTTATGACGGTGTCATGACCGTCTTATTCACAACCTGTCAAAATAAAGTGTTACCCTACAAGTGTCAGTTTTGTAGTTGCTTTGTTTGTCCAGTAGATGTCCAGCACACATAAATTATCTACTGAGGAAAGAGTACATAACCAATACAAGAAAGCCTCTGCCCTAAATATATACAGTCATTTTACCCAAATGTTTACATACACTGTGTACAAAAATATAGCCTTTTTTTTCACAGTGTGCAACTTTAAATCAGATTAAACTTCATCTACTTCAAATTGTGTCAATTTGCAAAATGCCAGAATAAACAAAATATGATTTTAGAGATATTTTTCAGAATGGAATGTGCATAATGACAATGCGGAGGGTCATTCAACATCTTTATGAGGCTTTTTGCTTTTTATCTGTTCACACCAATATATTTTCACCTATTCCCAATGTTCTTTTATTTCTTGTCCTATGACTGGATATCCCTATGGTGTCTGTGTTTGTCATGTAACTGGTGTAATTGTTTGAACAGATGTAAGTGGGACCTTCAGGCATTTGGATGTTGTACCTAAGGGATGAACCAGACTTCTGCAGCTCTTCTTGAAAACTTCCTGGTTTAATTTAGATTTTTTCCCACACGTCACACAAAGACTCATGCAGCGTTTAAGATGCCGACTTACAATAAGTTCATAGATGGGCCTCCATTTGGCTCAGCTGTTATGAGTTAACCAATCAACCTTTTATGAAGCTGTAGCTTCATCTACTGGGCTTTTCAGAACAGTTCACTTCAGGTTCATTTCACACATAACGTAAATTTTCTCTTCATTCTCCAAAATATGCACAAATACACATTCCTTTCTCACACATCACAAGTTAATTTTCTGTCACAGTTGCTAAGGGGGAGGGACAAACATTCCAAAACACCTCTGCTTTTTCAAATGTTCACTGGATTATCAGACCAATATTCAAGAGGATGATTTTGAAAGTGTTTTATGAAATGCCGATGGTAATCCGGTTAGATTGTGTCCTGGGTTCTACTTACCCACTTGGCAATGGGGCAACCATGTGAGCTCTTCCCCTCTTTGCCTGTGTACACCACCTTCTCAATTCGAACCGCTTCTCCCTTCTCTCCGTATCTGCAAAGAAGAAAATAAATAAGTTGGCTGTAGTTTGCAAATGATGGAACAATGGAAAAGTCAATGTTAAATTTGGTAGGGGTTAGAGTGTTTCTTCAGTATGAAATCATTTTCATTCGAACATAAAGTAACTTTAAAATAGTTTGTAGCATTTTTAGATGGGTTGGAAAAATAAAATGAAATTTGTTGTTTGCCTACTGGAGAACCTACCGGTGGTCTGCCTGGCTAATGCTATATTGAAATGATTTTTGACACAACTATGAGATTCAAGGAAGCAGGAAGTAGAAAGCGTGCCTGATGTGACGTTACAAGGCTCTGCTATAGACGAAGCAGACGTTAGCGCGCTCTGTGGTTGCCTGGTTACAGTAAATACAGAAATGTTGACAAAACATATCAACCAAGGACAACTTAAATAACTTGACACAACAAATATCACAGGTACTTTATTTAAATTTAACACAACATCACACTTTTAATGACTAATGCGTTTCAAAGGTACTCATCACCCTTATCTCTTTACAGTACACAGGAAGCAAAGCTCCGACAGAGCTTCACTGACTCACCACCATGGCTTCACTGTAGACTTTGTGTTTTATTTAGGGTTATGCTTCAATCTCCTTACATGCCACTGATCTAAAGTCCCCAAGAATTCATGTTTTTATTCACATTTCCACTACAAAATCTCAAAACACCTATTTGTAATCAAACAGTTGTAATCTGATCTGAGCTGATTTTATTTTTGGCTCAGTAACGGTGTAGCTCTTGGGGTGGAGACATGGAGTCCTTCAGTCTTAAAAGGGAAACTTAAAACTCAGTGCCTGCTGCCGCCAAGCTACAAGTCTGCAGTGTCCAGTCAAGGGTTTTTGACAACCTGAGTGGCTTGGAATGTGTATTTAAGTCTCACTTCTGGTGGCAGCCATTGATGGCTTCTGGTTTACTATCATGTCCACATGGTGTAGTCACAGTTCCTGGAAGTTTAAAACCTGCAGGTACTATGCTTCCCATAGGTTATTTTAGGCTATCTTTACAGGAGACGGCTGACTGGAAACTGTTTTTCAGATGTTGATTTGGGAATTGTTCCACATTTGTCATCTACTGTTGTCATGCCAGGTCACTAGATGGCACTGTGATTGTAGTATGTCATTGAATGACAAGTTCTTCTGTTAAAAGTGACCCATCTTCGATTCCCATTGCTCAAGTGCTCATGTAACACATATATTCCTACTGATCATGTTTAGTAGCACACAGCACAATGCTAGCCATGATTGTGTTTGTTATCTGCCAGATGTTGTGTAGAACAAACCCTACAGATGTGTGTTCTGAGCATGTGCGCTTTCACACCTGCAGATTAATACTCACCTGTGCGGTGGGTGTTACAGGAAAGTTTCGCTGGTTTCTAAATGTACCAGAGTGAGAGACTCCAGTCAGTGTTGTCATTTAAAAGCGCGACTGAATCGCAATACAAATGTTACGGTTTAACTGAAGAGTGGCTCCATGTGGACGGGTCCTCGGGGTCTTTTCTATCGTTTTGTTTCCTTATCCACGTTTGTGCAACTCAACGATCACGTCTACAGACTTTTTGAAGTTCAGAGAATATGACTAAGACTTCTGTTTTAGTCATATTTCTAAGACGCAATGAAACACTACCATGAGCAACACAAATGTTAAAGATCTACAACAGTTTTCCAAAGTAGGATTTTAAAATGAATTTTGATAAAATATTAGCCATATTAGTTTCATTTAACTATTCAAACACCTGAACAACTGTACATTTTGTCAATAAACTTAATTTGCAGTGAGAAAATAAAACCCTGATGTTTCTTGCCCATGTCTGGAAAAGTGTGCAGAGATGTACAGCCACCATTACAAGACTGGACTCTGCTTCAGTAGCTGGGGTGAAGTGTGTGTTCACAGGACTCTGAGATATTCACACAAAAATGGCAAAAAACCCAGAACCCACAGGTTTCTGCACAGCAGCCAGCGTCAGGCCTAACACATGGAGACATGACTGTGCTGATTTCACGTGAACGCACGTATTTCTAAGCCGAGTATTGTTTCGGGGGGGAGGATGGTGTTCTCTTGTTAGGTGCGCAGGAGGAGGATTGGAGGTCGGAGGTTTGTTCTGGGGTGGGGTCAGTTCATCAGAACCTGTCACATGTCCGTTCACAGCTCATATCAGGTCGCCCCCCCAGTCCCACGCCACCCCCAGCTGGATACCTGCCATTGTAAAACCCGCAGCCCTGAGTAGATTTGGCGTGACAGTGAGGACAAGGGGCTCCTGCTGAATAGGAGTCACCCTGCAGTAGCTGAGAGGGCCTGAGGATTAATGGACGTTACCACAGGGATGGGCCTGCTAGGTTCAGAGGTGGGTCAAAGGTCAAGGCAGGGACAATGGGGTCTGGGCATCTTGCGTCATTTCTGGAACAACAAAGAGTGGGCTCTGGTATAAACCCTCCCGTCCACACAGTCCTAAAAGTTAAAGGCTGAAATGAACCCCTTAACCTTTTGAAAAGTTAAACTGTGTCATCATTTAGAAGCAAGACAACAGGCTGTGACCCCACTGTCTTCAATAATAATGCTATTCCTAACAACACAGGATAAGGTGAATATGACACTGAAGTCATGGCTTGTTTCAAAATGATGTAACAGTCGCATCATTCAGTATCTATCCTTCCTCCCTTCTTGTTCTCATTCTCAGCTGTTCTGTTGCTAGACGACACACACACTTCTTTCGACTGCTGATGATGCTTATATCTCCCGTTCCTCCAACGAGATTCTGGGTCACGGGTTCCCCGGGGACAAAACAAGAGGAGGCGGAGGGAAAGAGGAGAGCAAGGGAGGCAAAAGCATATAGGAGGAAGTGGTAGAAAGGGAGAAATGGCACACCTCATCTCCATCAAACATCGTATGGAGGCTACTGTAGGTCCCGATCCCAGGTGATTGTAGTACGGCCCTTCATCTTTCTCCAGGATATGTTCTTGGGAGAGAGAAAGTACAGGATAAGGTTTACACACACACACACAAATATATCTAATAACACTAGAAAATATACTTAAATATAACAAAATACCCACAAATGACAACAATTACTTTTCTTATACTACTGTGAACAGCAGAGGGCATTGCCCTTTGCTTTATAGATTCTTGTCATTTTTTTCCAAATATGTTACTTGAAATAATGCTTTTGCATAAAATTTCTTTTCTTTTTTTTCCCAAGAATGGAAAAGTGATATTTCTAAATGTTGAGGAAATAATGTTCTTCCTCATAGACAGACCAGAGTTGATAAAAAGATAGATAGAGGTAAACTCAGGGTAATCCTCAAAGAAAATCTGTTCATAGTCTGCGACAGACTCTTCCAGCAGGACAACAACCCTCAACAATCAACCAGAGATAGAATGGAATAGTTTTATTAAAGCATAATCAATCTGACTAAAATTGAGCTTTTTGTTCCACACTTGCAAAAACTGAAATAGTTGTGTATTGACTTTACTGTTCTGTAGCTGGCATGCCTTAAAGAAAACAAAAAAAAAAACCCTCAATGGCATCATCTTTGAAGCTGAGGCTGAAATAGTATGCACATGATTACAACATCTAGTTCATATCAACACACAGGATGTATATATACTCCCCCATGTGAAGATAGTGGTGTGTGAATGTAGGGTGCGGTTTGATATTTTGTAAAGCAGAAGCTTGTACTGTGTGAATGTGAAGGACATGTACTGCTGTGTTTGATCCCAGATCATCCACCAGCCAGGTGAATTTCTACCTCAGACTGTACTGGACCGCTCTGACACAGTGCTAAGTGTGGGAACCACTGCCTCACTATCACCAGTGTGCCGAGTACATACCAGCTAACTATAATTTTGTCCAAATGTAAATTCTTTTTCAGATCACTATCTGAGCAATGTGCAGTTCTCAGATATGTGTGAGTGTTTCTGGTTAAAAAGGCAAAGTGAGGTCACATTCTCTTGGCAGGACATGGAGGAAACAAGGCGTGGCTCCTGGCAGGGAATGGAAGAGTCATGCCATATTCTTGTGTGAAAATACTAGAGGTGTGTGTGTGTGTGTGTGTGTGTGTGTGTGTGTGTGTGTGTGTGTGTGTGTGTGTGTGTGTGCGCGCGCGTGCGTGCGTACGTGTGCTCAAATTATGGTTTTAAAAGCTATAACTATGTCTCTAGTAGCTGTTTAATTCTGGTGTTGCTGCATCCTGCAGAGAGCTGATTAGATACTGGATCAGGAAACTACTGACATGCTTAAATTTTGATTAGTGTCAATAAAATGCTGTAAATTTCTTTATACCTTTCCTGGGAATCCTCAGCTAAGTTATTCAGACAGTAGCTGCAGCTACTGTCCTGATGAAGAGGCTGCATGATTTTAAGAAAACCTGTCAATGTGAAATTAGGAGTTGGAATAACTGTATTCATGTGGGAAAATGTATTATTGGAGTGATGACTGTCAATGCATGGCATTTTAAATCCAATGGCAAAACTTAGAATCCAAAGTTGTCTTTTGCACCTGCGATTCTGCCCTTACATTGTCATGATGGCTGAGAATCAAAATATTGTACAGCAATTTTCTAAAAAGCCATCTAACTTCAACTGACTTTATTGGTACACAAATATTCATTTAATTCACATTATTCGTTTCTACTTTACAGAAACAGTCTTGGAAACACTGTAAGCAGGATGCCAACCAGAGGATAAGATTGAACTGCTCTCTGTTTAGCAAAGGTTTGGATCTGCTTGCCTGCCAGCACCCACAAAAAGCTCCTTCTGCCAACACAGCTATTGTTCCTGCCTGCTGCCTTCAGTGCTTCACTGTCTGGATGATCACAGCTGTAAACCACAGCAACACACACATTCTTTGACAATAAGCATCCAGGCAAGAGCTGGTGTTAAGGTGGATCAATTATGCAGACCAAGAAGTACAGGTGGCTACAAAAAATATGTATGCCACCTGTATGCCACCCGTTAGCTTCAGATTACATTTATAACTTAAATGCATTTCCGCATATTTCTCTGCAATACTTTAAAGGTTTCTGTCTACTGACAGAAACCCGTCAAATTCTGTGCACACACTTACCCACACAGGTACAGGTTGGGAACTCTGACCCCGGATCCTTGATCGGAGTATCCAGCAGGTTCTTGGTAGGGGTGTCTAGGTAGCGCAAGGGGGAGTCAAGAAAGCCTTTTAGAGACGGTGAGGAATTTAGGCCATCCTTTACTGGCGTGCTCTCCTCAGAGTAGCAAGTGGTGGATAGAACCGCTAATTCTCCTGAAGCTTCAATTTTAATTCGCTTAGGCAGTGGAGAGTCTTGCATGCCCAGGGCTTCCTCTAACATTCTTTGCTGCAGCTGCTGCTTGTCCAAAATAGTCTCCTGGTTCTGAGAAACATTGACAGGCCTTGTATGTTGACGGCCCTCATTGGAAGGCTGAGTAACTCTTAATTCACTTTGGGTTTCTGAATTACTCTTGTTAACTTCCATTTTCTGATCATCTGATTGAGGTGTGGTGTTGGCTTGAGGAGTAGGGATTGAGGAGACAGACTGGGTGGTGTTAGATGATGCAAGACTGAGGTCTTGAGGACTGATCAGGGATTGATTTGCTTGTGTATGGGCCGGAGTGGCCTCCTCCTTGCGTGGACTTGCGGATGTGTCAGGGTCTAAGTTTCCAAATTCAGCCTCGAACTGGCGGATCAGCTCTTCGTACTTTGGATCTATGTTAAGGAGTTTCTGCAATGGCGAGGTGTTGGATGGAGTTGTGGAGGTCACAGGTGTGGCATTGCTGGTGCTGGTGGAGGTTAAACTGATGCCTGCATCTTCTGATTTTGGGATTGCCGAAAGAATCACAGATGTAGACAAGGTGTCCGTGACAGCTGGAGCGTTTCCCGTTGTAACATTGGAAGAAGGAGTTGGAGAGGTGTTGGAAATGCATACCTGAGATTGTTCTGGGGCAGGGAGACCTGCTGCAGAAGCCTGAGCGGAGTTACGGAGGAGGGCCAAAGGGTTGAGAGAGCATATTTGGGAATTGGTCAGGGATGGGGATGTGTCCATCATGTGAACTGGTGGTTTTTGTATAGCGATTTGAGCCTGAGGAAGGAAAGTTGGCATGGAGGCTTTCTGCTTGTTTTTCTTGATGATTATCTGTTTGGGCTTGGGAAGAACAGGACCAATAGCCATTCCACCCATTGATTTCATAACAGGAGACCCTTGGGTGTTTTTCCTCCTCTTGGGTTCCTGTTTGATTGGTAGAATTGACAAACCTTCAGCATCCATCTGGGGCCACCATTTTTTCAAGTCTTGACAAGCCATAGGTGCACGGGGGCTTGGCACTCCAAAGCCAGGTGGGTGAGTAGAGAACAGGTTCCTCCTGTGATGGAGGTGATGTTGTAGAGCTGCCTGAGTGGAGTGACGTATGGCTGCTTGGCCAGGGGACAAAGGATTTCCAGGGTAATGCTGACCCTGCTGTTGACCATTAGACATTTCATAACGTCCAGTTGAGGAAGTGTGATGATAATGCTCACCGGAATCTGGCTCTTGTTTTATTCTGCCCTGGACCTGAATGCCACCATTCTGATTCAAGCTAAGCTGTTGTGTGAGTGGAGGCTTAAAAGAAGCATTTTTCAACTTGGTGTCACCGAGCAGCTGTTTAAGCTCTGACATGGGGTCTGAGCTATTTAGAGGCGCAGTTGCAAAGTGAGCATGGGGCTCAGGCTTTCTGATCATCCATGGATTCCTCTGTTCAGGATCTCTGTCAGAGCCCTGTCTCCACTGCTGTGGATTAGGACTGAAACCTGGAGCTTTTCCCTGACCTGGAAATGGAGAGGTAGAGGATGGAAGAGGAGAAGCATGGGCTGGCTGGCCCTGGGACTGGGGTCTGTGGTGTTCGTAAGACGCTGCACCCTGCTGGTTGGTATGCAGCCCTGGAGGGACAGACTGGGATCGTGATGATGAGTTGTCGATAAGAGAGGAAGGGATCAAACTAGGTGCATTTTGGTGGTTATGAAAGTTGTTTCGGAAAACCTGACCTGGAGCACTGACTATTTGAGGGCTGGATAACTGTGTGAGTGCATCTATCGCAAGGGCAGTCTGAAGACTGATGTTTTTCTCCTTGGCTATGGAGAGCACCTGGGGAGAGCAAGGAATAGGGGATTTGGAGGAGGGCACTTGGTCTTGGTGAGAGTACTGATTAACTTCCTGTTGCTGTTGCAAACATGAAGTGGGCATATGGCGAGTACCATTCACTTGTTGGTACGTCTGATGTTGATGTGTCAAATGGGATTGCTCCAAATGTGGGGCCTCATCACCCATTTTGTGAGATCCTTGTTCCCTTCTAGATGCTAATTTAATTTTCTTTTCCAACCACTCCAGGTAGTCTGGACAACCATGCCCATCACAGTTGCAATTAGGGGGCTTGTGCCCATGTTTAGCTTGGCTCAGTGCTGTCTGTAAGATGTCAAGGTCTTCCAAAGGTTCGCAGCTTGTTTCAGGAGCACCTGCAGAGACTCTGGAATGAGCACCATCAGCACGTGTCTCTTGGGTGAACCTCTCATATAACTTGGCTGTATTAGGCTGCAGGACAAGGCAAGATGAAGAGGAAGAAGGAGGCAAAGAGCTAGCCGTAGCAGAAAAAGCTACCAGATTCTGGGCATCTTCTATATCTGCATAGTGGACTCCCTCAGCAGGGGTTGTGCCACTACTGCTGCTCCAGCATGATTGCTGCTGTTGGGTCTCATTGACCTTGCTATGTCCTGGCACCCAGCATTGCCTTTCAGGTACACCTCCTGCCCTCTGCTCATCTGTTTCCATAGATGCCTCATCATTGTTATGGTAGGGCTTCACCCCATTGGTCAAATCCAGGCTCAACGCGCCTTCCTGAAGGCGGTCATGTGAACCAATTTCCATCTGGCCTCTGTTTGTGAGGCCATCCACTGTAGTGACTTTGTGAACAGTCTGAAAGACAGAAATGCAGAGTGGTAAGTAAAGCTGTGCAAAGCAAAGCAACATTATACACTCACAAAATAAGTGGTGCAAATAAGAAGTAATGAGCTGATTATGTTCAGATATTTATATCACAAATATGGATATGACTTTTTTAAACATCTTGTACATCAGTAATAGAGAGAACACCAAGTGAAAGAGTAATTCCATTTATTCAGGATCAATCCGAGGTTTCATTGGAGCGTTCCCCTGACTTGATTTTACATTATTCAGTACTTTCAGAATATTCAAGATCAGATCAATGAAGACTATATAATATGAGCAAAATAATCCACCATCAAATGGTTTAACATCAGGTGCAAATCGAGTCCACACTCTCACATGTAGCACGACAGTTTCACAGTTGGACATTGTGCTTTATATCAGTTGGGTTATGCAAAGCAGGCAGCTGGAGCGTCTAACCTCTGCCATGTGGCAGAGGTTAGCAGATACACAATGATAAACATGAGGACTGAAAAGTAGACGAACACTACCTGCCTCATTTTTTATTTATAGGAAAAATATTTTCAGCCCAAATTTATCTGTACCCAGATTAAGAACTAACAATATTTTTACTCAACCAATAGATCTGTTTCAGCTAGGAAATGAGATAAACATCTACAACAATGTAAAAGAAGTGTCAATTTTTGTACCCTTGTTAAGAGTCAATAAGAAACTTTCACTTATTCTCACTCTCACAGCAATCAAACTAGGACTGGACTTTACTAGAAAAATATGTAATTGCAATATCTATACTAGACATGATCAAAGGGTATGGTCATGTATACACATTAAAGCTAGTTAAACTCTATTCAACTGCTCAAATACATAATACATAGAACACAAATAAGCAATGCAATTTTCTTTGCACAGTTTTTGAGTTTTTTATGTAAAGATCATCACATTAGTTACAAAGCAGCAGTGAAGGCAGTGTGACATACTTTTCAATCTGAGACGACAGGTTGAACATTTTGTCCAAGCACAGCCTTGTGTTGAAATTTTACTCAGTCATGACAGTCACATTGAGGGATTATCCATTTGTTGAACAATTATACATTCACTTGATTTTATCAGTTAATAAATATGTTACAGTGGTAAAAAAAAAAAGGGAAAAAAAGAATTTTAGATGTTACTAGCCTACTGGAGGTAATGGTGACAAAAAAATGTAAGAAGCTCACTTTTAAAAAAAAAAAAAGACCTGTGAAAAAATACTAGGAGAATCAGATAAAATGAAAATGGTGAAGTACATGTCGTTGCATCACTTGACTTACAAGCCAAAACTTTGACGGGGCCTGATTGTTTTAGGAATAACTTCCTTTAACACCAGATGGAATTCAAAGGATTAAACTATAAGATTTACAAGGATAAATAGTTCAGAGTTTTGCTCATGTAAAGCTTGTTTTTAACTACTGTAATGATTGTCCAGAAATAGATCTGCTCTGTGCATAAATACTAAGAGAACTAGATGTGGAAAATCATTTCCTTTTTTCAAGCAGCGGGTAAAGTGTCTTTTTACAGCTCAGAGGCAGGTTCAAGTGGTTTAAGGTCTTTCCAGTTGTGAAGTTATCATGAGCTCACAGTACAGCCACATATCTAACTTCCCCTGCAATTGGAAACCAGTAAGTCACCCTGGTGGTAGCTCCAAATTTCAAAGTATTTCATTTGTATCCTAGACTGTTTCTTGCAGTGTTCAGACCAGTCTCACTTATTTTACATTATTATCTACAAGAGCCAGCAAACAAATATAATTCAAGGACAGGTTCAGAAATCATTGACAGAGTTCATGTTGTGTCTAAACTGTGTATTCCAACATGCTCAATGGCCCTTGTGAAAGGAAACACTGGCAGAGTTAGTAGTTACTTTAGCACTAACGCAGAAAGCCGACAGACGGAAGAGTTATTCAATGTTCTGGAAAAACTTGTGATCAACTTGTAGGTTCAACAGCTCTGGTGTCAGACCAGCCGGAAACTTAAACCTAGTATGAATTAATGTACTGCCAGGCCATGCAAGCAAACACTCTATGGTGTGGAAGTTGGCACGGTGGGAGGAACACTCAACGTTTGCTATTTTATGTTTTACTGGGTTGTTTACTGGGTTACAGAAGAAATGTGTATCTTCTGCAGAGGCATGTGGACAGTTCCTTCAGGCTGAAGAGAGCTAGACTTTGGCAGCCATCAGCCATTTTCCTCCTAAGCCACCTTGTTCTGTTATAGTTCTGCACAAACAACATATTTTAGCTTTATCAGCTTATAAAGACCTGCTGTTGTCACAGTTAGTTGATTTTTCCATCCGACTTGTTGGGCAACACACTTCTGGAAATTGTTTTCTCTATTGCTGCTGGAAAATTCTTGTTCTGTACTGCACTTCATTAGACAAGGAGTCTCAGTGGAGACTCAATAAATCAGATTTGATTGTCTAAGTATGTGATTATTTTTGATGTGATCAATATGTTTTGACTGATGTTGACAGTTTCCCTGGTAGACATATTTTATTTGTGGCAAATGTACATTATAAAATTCCAAAAGTCCCAATCATTGGCTCTGTTTCCATCTAAGTGTCACAAGCATTTTGAGAAATCAGTCATGTGAGATAAATATTTGCTACATCAGAACTGAATTTTTCTTTTTTGTAAAAGCTAAACAAAAACACATTGAGCAAGTGTGAAAACTGTTCTGCAAATAAGAAACTTCAAAATACGCATTGTACACAAAAAACTGATGGAAACATATCTTTGTTTTCAATTGTTACTGACATGTTTTAGAGTGACTGGTCTCACACAGTGTGATCTCTCTCCTAATACAAATAGACAAGAATGTTAGAAATAGTTGTGTTAGAGGGCGTGTACTGACCACAAATCTTTGGTCAGTACACATATATCGTTATTCATAAAATACACAAGAAACTGTCAAGATGCCCTAATCGTTCACTGTTTTACCAAAAGCAAGGAAACATTTTGTTTGTTCAAAGTTCTTTGCCAAAAAACATGACCCAAATCAAAAACTAGACTCCTGCTTCTCACTGAAGGTCTTACACTCAATACCAATGTGAAGAAATATGGAGCGACGTGAATCCACTAGCATCTTTCCAAGTGCTAGCACTGCATGATGGTAAGTGAGTCTAACATTCAGCTTCCCCATCATTTGAATATTATTGAAATGAGTCTTTGAAGTGGGTAATTACTGGACAGGCAGTGTGCTTGTGTCTTTTGAATCCACCTTCTGTGCTGGGGGTTCCTGGGTCGGTGGAGGGGTGGCGTCAAACAGCCGGCATGTAATACGTGAGAGGCCCCATGTCTGTGCTATCAGCGGCATCAGATGGGAAAGAGGAAGGGGGGGAGGTAGTGTGCGGCAGTTATGAGAACTGCAGTGTGTTGAAACAGGCTGACTGCAACACTGCACAGTCTAACATCCCACAACCATGCACTGTCAGTCACACTGACACTCTCCTTTCCTGTTTTTCTCAGTTACACTCACAAACCTGTGGGGGCTTACTTCTCTTAATTTGGAAGCTTAGAATGAGTGTAATTTAGATAACCAATGTAGAGAAGGGCACACCTCACCAAATATTATTCAATGCATGCATGCTGAATTCTCATAGCCTGAGCTTTAATTGTATTTGAAGGGACTTCTAATTGAAAAGTGCTGACATCTGCTCTAATTTTCACCTGTGATTCTCCTTAACAGACTGGACAGACCACGTGAAAAATATTTATACCATGACAGAGCTGAGAGCCTCCGTCCTTTCCTAAATGCCTCCCTTTATTTTATTTGCAAACACACATAAACCATTGTGCCGACTTGACCCATGCCACAAAGTACCACACACGCAGATATTTCCATCCAACCGGATCGAATCTAGTCAAACCTGGAACACCAGGTAAACTGGCTTGCCAGGTTTGTTTGAGAGAGAAACAAGTGCAGTTCAACTGACTCTCCACAAAAAATGGAGGGAGGAGACAAAGCACTGGAGAATACTAGTTGTGGCACTGAGGGGGTTAAGTTCAGCTTCTGAGCAGACAGCTGAACCTAAATCCCACATACACAACGCCACCCCATCCTCCCCCTCCCGCCTTCCCCCCACCCCTTCCTCGGCTGGCGTGACGAGCAGGAACATGAAGCAGAGACCCTGACAAAATTAAGCCGGCTGCGAGCCTCGAAGATCCACAACGCATACTTACGCCGTCCGAGGTGTCCAGACGGGGCTGCTGGGAAAAAAGAAGAGACCAGAGGAGGAGACGGAGAGGGGCATGAGACTTGCTTGCCGGTACGGTGATCCACAAGCAATCTGTCCTTGCAGGGTTGTATTCCCTTTTTTTGTTGTTGTTGTTTTATTCCTTGTCGTCTGTGCGGCACACAGACACGGCGAGCACCAAAACACGCATACACGCAGTCACGCGCACGCACGTAGCCAATAACGCACGCAACCCACACCTCCCCCCGGCACGGCACGCACGTTACTCATTCTCTTGGCTCGTCTTAAAGCCAAACCTTTCTGTTCTATGCTTTTTCCTTTCTCATTATCTATGTCTGCTCCTCCCTTCCCTTTTTCAATATCCTCTTTCTCTCACTTGACTACACATGCAGTCGGCTTCTCTTCGCAGCCCCCACCTTCCCCTCTTTTTGCTTCCCTCCCTTCGTAACTCCCTCCCTCTTGTGCAGCCTCCCCCTCCATCTCCTCTCCTCTCTCTCGTCAGTGTGCTTAGTGAGAGGCCATTATCTGAGCCGCGGCAGGCACGTACGTACAATGCAATGGAGGAGTGTGCAGTGAGCAGAAACACAGAGAGCAGTGGGGGATAGTCGCTGGTAGCAGCAGCAGCCTAGGAAACAGCTTGGTGCAGAGGAGCGCTTACCAATGAGAACACCTCTCTCTGACTATATCCACGCCCTTCGGCGCTGCTTCCTCTGCTGCATTCGATGGCGTTACATTGCAGGCTGTGTCTGTCTATCAGCTAGAGCTCCAAAAAATTACCATTTTGGGTTCGTCCGAGCACCTCTGCTTTCTATGGCGAAGGCAAAACGGGGGCCGCCGAGCGAACAGATGATCTCAATTAACAGGCAAACGGGAAAAGAAGCAAAGAAAAGCAACACTATTTTCTATACGCGATGCAAACATCATCCGCTCTTCCTCACTGACTTTTTTCCATCCCTTGTCGGAGAGTCTAGTTTCGACGAAACTAGAAGGTGCCGGTAACGTCTTGATCATTCGGCGATCATATCAAATCCCCATTTCTTGCAAACTCTTCAGTCTCCCACTTGTGGCTTTAAACAATCCTACTAATTGATGATACCTGCACAAGAGGGCTGGTAGATAAAGAGCAAGTTGTCTTGCTGGCCCATCCTCAACAATCCAAAGGATGCGGCTAAGGTGAAGGGGTTCCTTGGAGCATCTGATGTTAAGACCATACATCAAAACCCAATGAGGTCAACTAGTCCATCTATGCTGGGGACATAAAATGGAAACCTGATGAGAATCATTCAGTCAGGTAAAAGAGCGAATGCACTGGGCAACGGAGAGGAAACCTTCACAAACACTCAGACAACAGCGAGTCGAGAGAAGGATGATTCTGGAGGAGGACAGCGAGGGAAGTCTGTAGAGACAAACTGGTCAGCTATTATTTTGACTTTCCCTAACTAGAAAGAAGAGCTTTGCAGAAAAAGGACATATAGACGGGATCATCAGCTTGCAGCCAAACGAAGATAGCTATCTTCAGTAATCAACCCACTGCATTCGCAAATAGAGACAACCGAAAGCTTCTGTCTTCGCCGGTCTTCCATCCTACAATAACACACACACCTCATATCACTCTGCCTTAGCTTCACTGCCATTATCATTTACAGCCTCGTGATGATAGCAGATTGTTTCCTCTCGCTCACTTGCTGGCTGACAGGCCTCGTCGTCCTCTCCTTTCTCCAACACTGCCGGAGTTTAGAGAACCGATTTAACCACGTAGACGAGGTGGAGGAAAGAGAAGGGACATAGCTGTCTCCCCATGCAGATCGCTCAGACCCCTGCTTGGTGTTTCTCTTACATTACTCAGCTTGTCAGCCAGCCACACTCTGCTATGACTGGATTAACTTCAGTTGTCTATCCCTGCGTTACGTATTCTGCTTTTCCCCAGCTCTCTTGGTCTCCCCAAATTTCTCATTTTCTCGTGCTTTTTCCAACAGCCTCCACCTCTCTTTCTCGCTTAGTTCTTCTGTTCAGTTTCCTGAGCCTGCTCTCCTCCTGGTAAAGCTCACTGCATTACAGCTCCGACATTTTCTGAGGCACCCGATCTAGACCGAACACCGCCTGCCTCCGTTGTTGCCTCACATATTCGTACAAAACACACGCAGATGAGCACCAAACCAAAAGAGAAACACGGCGCAGCCGAAACTGTCAAAGACAAGGGGAGAGGAGAAGTAGAGTGCGGATCATGTGACGGCTGTTCACCAATCAGCAAGAGGGAGAGCAGAGAGTAAGAGAGGTAGGAAACACAGACAGTGATGACGCAACCACCTCATCATCGATGTCTCCCACCAGGATGTTGCCTCCACCACTGGGTGGGCAACAGTAATATTGGCTCAACTAACCCTTTCCATGCTATCAACCTTCCCACACACCAACCGACACTTGAGTACAACCAACCAATTCGTGCTCACTCACTTCACTCGCTCACTCCCTCAGCTGCGGTGACACAGCGTTTCTAGCTCAAGGCTCAACCTCTGTACCACACGCTCTCCACCCACACCGTGCTGCACACTGAAAACAACAAGTCCATTTTCCAGTCTTGGGACGCTTGTGTTCTTATCTCCCGTTTTGTTATTTTACAGTTTAACTGGGATGGGGGAAAAAAGGACTTCAGCTGAGATCAAAAGCAAATAAGAAAGCCATTAAAAGACGATAATATCATGTGGCCGAGTAACGCTAGAGGACTTTCAACAGCATGAACCCCAGAAAACTTGTCTCTGCCAATGGTGACAAAACTCAAAAATTAACATAAAGGGAGAAGTCTTAATGATAGGAATGTGTTTTCAATCAGCCCACAAAAGATCATCAAAGACTCACAACAAACAATAACATTGTTCTCCGTCAGCTATCCAGCACCGCTGGACACTGGAGTTGTGTAGCCAGCATGAGTGTATCAGGACATGACTTGATCTGACGGAGGTTGTTGTCATGAACTACAGACATATAATTGCTTCACCCTTGATTGCCTGTTGCATTTGTGCTTGAAACTCACTTTGAAGTAGGAAAGGAATTTCTCTGCTGTGCTGACAGAGTTAGGAGTTCAGGAAAAAGTGATCAGACCACAAGTTTTCTTAGTTGACCTCAATAGTAAGGCTGCATATTACATTATCATTGACAAACATATCATCTCTTTTGTACTGTTTGTCTTTCTGCCTTTCCCCTATTTTAATGATAGTTCATAAAATGCTACAACACAAACAATGAATAAATGAAACACATTAACAGGTATTGTGAAATGTCGTGATAATGTGTCGTGATAATACTTTGTTCGCATGTGACGAGGTCATACGTTCAATTTAATCCTTTTGACCACACTGAATATAAAACACAAAATGTTGGAGGTTATGTAAGATCCTGAGAATAATTGCACCTATTTCCATGATAAACAGATATTGGGACTAATTAAATCTCATAGATGTTCTCAAAAATCCACTTTAACTGTTACAGCTTTTATACAAATTGAGCAAACATAAAGCAGTATTCCCATCATTTAGATACATTTAGCACCCCAGGTCAGAAGCTTTAATTAAAATGGTCAAACAGCTCATTTTGCAACAGATGGATATGAAATATATAGACAAGGAGGTGGGGCATCATGTGTCAATAGAAACCTACACAGGAAACAGGGCGATAGCGCGACAATAACAATGGATGACATAATGGCTAATTAAATTAGACATGGAAAATGGAAACAAAAATACTGGCATTTATTGGTCTTCTGGAATGATTGTTGAAATATTAACAGAATATACTTATAAGTCATATGCAAAAATTATTCTTATGTGTTGATTTTAATATAAATCTGTTAAACGCAAAGACTCATCAACACACAGAAAACTTTAAAAATGTAAATTAAATTAGCAGTTCCTGTGTATTTTAGTTCATATGTTAATAGATTAGCTTAAAGTGTTAAGATTGATCAGCATTTAATTTTTTTACCATTAGTGTTAATTGTTATGGTTTTGGACTCTAAAAATATTGAAAATGAAGTTCCTTCAAAGAATCAAAAGAGTAATAATTTTAATGGTTCTGGCATTTTTTTATTTGCTTTACAATCTGATTATTAATTTGATGTAATAACAACTGGATGGAATTAAAGGAAATAGTAAATGAATACAACATTAAAGACTTGGACAAAAGCAAAGTGTTTCTCCTAAAGGGGCAGCTGCTCCTATAAAAGCTACCAAACATCAAGCTGGGTGTGAAGCTTCCACAGTAGTGTGAACATGTCGGGTTCTTATCAGAAAGCGAATCTAGTGACAGATTGACAGACAACACAGAAATGATTTAAAGGGAGTGTGTGAACAAACTGACGAGTGAAACCATTAGCCGCTAATGACGTTACAATAGGCATCTGATTATCAGCTCCCTATTACATAGAACGAAAGGATGGCTGGGGACCACTTCTGATCCTCTGCTGGTCAAACTTTTAAAAACTCTTGACTTATTAAACCATGACAGAAAAGCTGTTAGCAGAGATCCAGTAAAACATACTTTCAAAATAAACTCAGTTGTAAAGCAAAATTGTAAAAAAGCCCCGAAAGGATTCAAATTTAAAAAAAATAAAAAATTATAGTAGACATCTTACATCATTCTTGTGTTTAATTTGAGCTGTGTGTTTTTTCTCACCCAGAGTTAATGTCTAACTGTTACCTTGCCCTTTTTAATGCCTAACTTAAGCAGTTAGAGGATTGTAACAATAATATACAGCTGCAGAGAGCAAACGCCAGACAAACCTGACTGAGATCCCTTCCAGTCCATCCAGTAAGGTAACAGACCACTGTCTGTTACATCTAGTTGATGTTTATGTTTAGGGTTAGAGATGAGGGTTAGCTTTAGGGCATAATATGGACACATTCTTCAACGGCAAAAGGCTCTAGAGGAAAGGTTTTAAAGTACATACACAAATCGCGAGCTTACACATTAAAATGGCAACAAGGAGAGAGCACAATCTATAAAAGTAGGGATCCCATTACAAATTCCTCATATTAGAAAGTAAAAAAGACCCAACAATGTTCTGAAGTGTTTTATACACTATATAGTCAACCCAAACCAGATGGGGATGTGACCAAACTTTTAATTGGACTGCGTAAAGTTTTTCAGGATGATCTCGGGACTTCAGGAGATCATAAAAACAACAAATGTCACTCACATAAAACAAAAATGAGACAGGGAATCCAACCGCACTGTTTCAGGAGACATCTGGAAGAAATACTGCGGAGGACATGTCATAATGTTTGTACTTATGCAGAGCGTTTGGATGGACGTTATCACCCCGGTTCAGTGAAGCTACCATTCGGGTTCTTCCTGCTGCTGGAGGCTTCGTCACTCCCAGGAAGTAATTTATTTTGGGAATGGCCAGAAATAATTATTTTCTGCCAGCATATCTGCGCAGAACTAGAGACTATATTTGGAACTCTTAGATTTAACTGGGAACAATGTCTTTTTGGGTTTATACACTCAAATACTGTAATATTAAAACAAAATATTTACTTGGAATACTGACTTTAGCAGGGAGAAAAGAAATTCCAAAGAAACAGCATAGTTTACATGAATAATATGGCATCTATGATTTTTTTGTGATTGAAAAAATCACTTTCTCAATGAAACTTTAGCAATCCAAATTTGAAGACGTCTGGAAAAATAGAAAAGGTATTTTTCCCTGAAACACTCTTCTTTTGTTAAGGTCTCTTTTTTCTTTTCCCTTCCTTTCTGTGGTACAGAACGGCCACTTTCCTAAAATAATGGCCAAAATATTTTTGTTTCTTTTGTCTGAATCATCTTATGGCAAAACATGATGTAAGCCACTATTTTCT